CGTGTGCATTTCATTCTCAGCAATAGCCTAGCCTCCCCGGCGTATACGACCCATCTGCTGTCCTTAACATCAATCAATTCATTCATGGATGTAGAAGACTCGAAACAACTTCAGAAATAATCACGACGAAAATTTTAACAAAATTACGCAATAACAACAAGACACGAAAACAACAAGTAAACACAATGAATCCAAAATACACCAATTGCTATGACACACCACACGTATATACAAATAGTACAAACAACCTCGCCGATCATGTCTTGGTGGAATTCCTTTGAAGAATTGCAGGACTTACACCAGTACGCCTACAACCCTTCTCAGGTTGACGATTGTAATTTGTGGAATGTCCGGACACAAACAAGATTAACCAACAATTACAATAATTGGAACTCACACAATTATTTAACACAAACATATGTACAATCAACACATCAAATGTTGTGGATTCTGGCACGGCAAACTACCCTTGAAGAACTGTAGGACTTACAGCAGTACGCCTACATTCCTTCTCAGGTTGATGATCCAAGTGGAAGTCGTCCGGACACAAACAGAATTACCAACAGCTAGATGAAAGATGATATCAATTCAGTATATGCAATATGAACATATGTACAAAATCACACACCCAGCACATTGGACTGCTCATTGATGCGCTACCCTTTGAAGAATTGTAGGACTTACAGCAGTACGCCTACAACCCTTCTCAGGTTGACGCCCTAGGTTGGAAAATCGTCGCAGAGTTCATTTGCTAACTTCCTTCTATCAGCTATATCCTCAAATCTGAACGGCAACACGCCCATGTCATTGTATCGTAGAATATAGATGACCAACAAACACACGACATATCTCATCAACCAAGTGTAGAAACAGAGTAATTTACACCAAAGATAATAACATTCAAATAGTAACTTGAAACTAGAAATGCCTTTATTCGTGCAAGTCAATTTAACAATTACTCTCTCGTTTACACTTGGCTTATCCTCACTAAACTGACCATTGATATTCGTCCTTTCAAACGAACTGATACTACCATAGTCATTGCACAAGATACTTGAGTTGATGGGTGTCTGTTTCATTGTGGATGACAGCACCAACGACGACTGATTGATATCAGTTGATGAACTTAGCAGTGGATCAAAAGCTGTTGTTGCTCGACTTTCAGAAATTTGTCTACCTGCAAGACCACCACCACTGCTGTCTTTTACTATCAGCTCAGGTTTAGCACTAGCATCTGATGATAGGTGGGCTTCACTCTGATCAATTACACTGACGGTTTGACAAGTATGCATGCCTTCTGCAACTGCATTTAATTCTACTTCACGTTCAAGTTGTACAGAACCTTTATTTAACTTAGCGGTAGTAGGCATTCCCTCCATTTCATCATGATCAACCAAAGACAAATCTGCACTATCATGATCATTATCACAAATATTCAATTTACCGTCAAGTTCATCATTTTCAAACTCTTTAATAACAGAAGTAGACAATTTTGGTTCCTCCTCACAAATCATTAAAGGTTTTATATCTTCACTCTGACTAGTTATACCTTGTAAACTTTTGGAGTCAGAACTGCACTCTGAAGCAGTAACTCTATTCTGTGACACTCTATTCAACAATGGCTTACCAGTTGCAACTACAGACTTCTTCACCGCACCGTTATCGTCACACAATTCGGAGTCAGACCTGGAGTTTACATTTAGCTTATCACTGAACTTGCTCACTGGTTCACAGTTCACTTCTGTATGCACCTCTTGCAAACGTGTAAAACACAACCGTGTTTGTCTTGCATCTTGCAACTTATCTGTTGAGGATGTACTACGAAACCTGTTGCACTCACTAAGTTTATATGCATTACTAGACATCATGGAGCCTTCTCGATATCCACCTCTCTGAGGCTTATTCGTCATCAATGAGTGCGTTTTACCCTCAGACTGCTCTATTCTAGGGGTGAGATCTAATAGACTGGAAAACTTGCTCATAGATTGATTGACGCTATCTTTTACCAGTTTCAGGATATCATCAAACTTTGGCTCGATACCCTCATCCTCCATACGGGAGCTTATCTTCACCCACTTCCTTTGCAGTCGAGTAGGTAGACGTCTTGCTATTACTTCTAGTATAAAACTCGAGTTGAGGTCACTCATGCGATTCATCGAAATCATTCCATTCTTGTAAATTAGCAAATTATCTAAAAACTCAGTGAGTGCCTGGGAGTCATCCTGTAATTGACCACCATTACCCTTAACAGCCTCGAATAATTTCCCTGCAATCATCGAAGGTCTTCCAAACCTTTGACGTAATATGCTCATAGCCTCATCGTAGCCCTCTTTTGGCTTCATAAACTTACAACACTGTATAGCTCTTGCAGCATCTCCAGTGCAATATCTCATCAAATACATTAACTTCAATTCATCACTTAATAGAAAACTACTCAACATGATCTCAAACTCCTTTACAAATTGTAAATAATCAGCCGGGTTTCCATCAAAACACCGTGGTTCAAATTTAGGGAGTTTGATGTTCCTATTATCCCTGAACGGCGAAACAGTAACATCAACCATGTCATGCTTAACATCAGACACATCGTTACAATTAACAGACAAGTCACCATGACTTACTTTCCTGTTTGCATCCAAGACACTCTGTCCCTTCTTTGACCCAGGCATTGTTGAACTTGACCCAATTCCAAAAACGTTCCAGATATTGCTTGTTCAAAGAGGACTTGACCGGCACCAGGAAAGATGAACGGTGACTATCCAAACTTTCACCAACTGTTTGAATCCGCCAGATCTGTTTCTATCGTCAGAAACTGTCAATCACGTCTCATAAACCGTTAATGCCCAGCTCTCGCTACGCTCGGGCCCACGCTGTTCCTTGAAGATTTCAGAAACGCTTAGTTATAACGGACGAAAAAACCAAAACACCGATCTGCCGCTTGAGATTTCTTTATTGTTACACCAACATATAAAAAAATAAGTGAACTAAGGTCTGTGAACAAATATTACAATAATAAATCACAATATTACTTCTGACGATGTTTTACTCTTCTTTCTGAACAGCGACCGATGAGACGATGACTGTCGTATTGATGCCTCCGCGAAAATTGGGGAAGTTGATTTTGAGCAAACAACCAAGAATTGATCGTTCAATCTTCAACTCCATTGAGAATACCCTTTGAAAACTGAAAGCGGAACCAGAGACTACAACAGTCGTGCTGACTCCATTATTGGGGAAGGTCTGTGTGGAGGGAAAGTTGCCTACTGACTGAAGTAAATGTCACCTCGTGAAACTGCTAAAGAGTGGCGACTTAGGCTCCACTCTGCAAGAACTGGCGAGGAATCAAGCTCCTGTCGACGTCAAGTGTCAGTGTAGTGTAAGATTGAACGATCCATTCGTGGTTATTGCTCAAATCCAACTTCCTCAATTTTCGCAAAATCATCAATGCGCCAGTTGTCATGACTGCCGGATTGATGACTCCACGAAAATTATGGAGGAGTTGGTTTCGAGCAAACAACCACGAATTGATCGTTCAATCTTCAACTACACTGACAGTGAAGTAGTTGTCTTTTTACTATCTAATCATTTCCTGTAAGACAGTGGTGTTAAACGCAGCATAAGAATAACGGACTATTTGTGATTAACAGGATATACGTTTCATAGAGTATTGAAGTGCTCAGGCTACCAATACAAGTCGTGTACGTACAGAACCTATGTTTGCTAAGTTATATTTCGTTATTCCATCACAAACACATGTAGAATTGCCGCTTTCTTCCTAACATTAGTGAGTAGGAGTGTTATGCGCAACCGGATTAAAAGTAACTAAAGCACCTCACGCAAGGACTAGTGACGCATTGACGAAAACATAACGGTTTAAGACTGACGCAATTCACATAACTCACATGACTCACTCGCGCCGACCATACACATGGTCCGGGACTCGATTCCCCTGCCGACGCACACCTGATATCTATGTTGGCTTGCAAAATTTGGGCTACGATATCACATACTGAAAATCCCATACCTGTACCAGAAATATGGTGTGGAATCACGGTGAAATCAAAAAAAGTATTAATACGCTGCCTATTATTCTCCTTAACCATAAAATGCCTTCAAAATGATTAGTTAAAGAGACAAAGGTAGTTGAAATAATTGTATACATTTGCTACGATAAAATCAGGTCAAAAATAATTTAGTATGGAAGAGTACATTCCTACATTAGAAAAAGAGTTTATAGCAATCGAGTCAAAAAATCATAGTTGCAGATTTTTATAGATGCGTAGTAGTCACCACAAAGTCTACTAATCACTCTGTCCACAAGACCTGTATCAGCTTTCCTCAGTTGACAGTGGTGTTGTACCAGGCTTTGCAGTTTTCATCACCACCAGATTCTTTCGGAGAAACTTGATATGGTCTTAATAAGCAAAGATTTAGACTGTATCACTTCGAATACCTTCGGATTCACTAAGAAATATCTGAAGATACACACATCTCAGATGAATTGATCTTACTTCTGGTGAACACTTCCTTATCTGGGGCACATTGAACATGTGAACAAGGGAGAGAACAATCATAGAGTTGGTGAAATTCTATAAAGTCGTCCATTAATTCCACGATAGTTTTGACAAGTTGTAGAGCTTCCAAAACATCTACCCCACTTTTTCTTCTATAAGAAGCAAATATTACCCAACTTCCTCTCTTTTCTATCCCAAACAACCAACAGAAAGAGAGCTAATCTTCAAACAGTATACTTTTACTAAGTTAGCCTCCAAAATTTGTTTTTGTAAGTGAATTCAATGTATATGATATCACATCTGTGAAATTTATACATGTATTAATCAGTCACCTGAAGCTGAAAAATATGATGTCCATCTGATTTTATTGTTATTATTTCAAAGCACCCCTCAGTAACGTACAATACACAATACGTATTAACCGCAGCATTTATGCAAAGGAAAATCTACCAATTGCAGTGTGCATAAGTGACCTTCAAGTGCTCAGCCTCTTCGTAAGCCATTTGTGCCGCGATCCTCTGTCCGGCATTCATGATTATTTCTACTATTTATCACTAATAAACAATGACCTGTATCATTCTTATTGATTTTGTACACGCATGCTTATTTAGTAGCTCACTAATTCCTTAATATTTACCTTCATGAAGTCGAGGCGGTATCGATGTCAAACAGCTGTTACCTGTTTGATTTACGCTAGAGTAAATGATGTGTGAATTCTGCCTGGATATAAGGGTGCTGTTGCTGGTGTTTCCTCTCATTCGCCTTGCTACTGTAACCTCGGTATGCCAAAGATTGTCATAAATGTGTCTGCAATATTAAAACGTTTGTAATCAGGTGTCAAAATTTTAAGCCCAAGGATTTTTACTTGATTATTACCGTATTGTTTGGAAATTTTCTGATAGGTCTTTTGACCGAATGTGAATTAACTGCTTATAGACGTGTTTTGTGACCGTTTCCCTTACCGGTGGAAATAAGTAATAAAAAAAATGTTTCAGCTTGTCAGAACTAGCTTATATGCGCCTGGAGTTTGTGATAAAACAAAGAGATGGATGGATTGCACAAAGGGTCTTGGGAATTCGATGGTACTATTTGAGTGTTTGGAGTAAAATTACAAATGTACTGTAAGTGTACCATCTTCGGGTGTTTAGGTTTTCTTTCCTTTCCAAGTGTCTAAGCTCTGCCAACCTCCATAGATTTAAAGAACAATAATATAGATAGGCAGTCGTTGGTTGACAAACGTATGAACCGGAGGTTATCGATATTTTTCCTCCAGATGACTTAGTTTTAAGAAAGAAATGGGCAATTTCACAAGGTTAAATATTAAGCAGTATAAAAGACAGCTGTATATACACTGTCATTCGAATAACTTGCAGCAGTACTCATGTTATTCTCACAAAATTTTGTTTTAGTAGAACATTTGTTCCTCGATCTGGTTATTTGGTGGAATTCATTCCAAATGTCTTTGAACAACAAGGATGTGATTTTTTTATCAAAGTGAGTTATGCCGTTTTTGTGTGTAACGAAAGATTTCTGTTTTAAATGCTTGCTGTCCTCAGATAAACTCTAGACTATTATAAGATACATACTTATTTTGTACTTTGCCGAAATGACAGGATGATGTTGTTGCACAAGTACATAATTCCTGTTATAATACTATGGTTAGTGTGTCCATTCTTTTGAATGAGCTTAGTTTAAGGTCGATTCCAACTACAGACTGTTTCCACTCAAACGAATAGTCTTGTTTGGTAAGAACAAGGGATTTACGAAGCACATCAATTAGGTAACTTGTAATTGACTGACTGGTTTCAACATAGAACTTCACACAGAAGTGCAGTGGTTCGAGTTGCCACACTACTTGTAGCACGCAAAGGTGGAGAAACGAAAATAAGAAAAAGGGATTCGAAAGAACGATTATCAGAAATGTACGGAAAAAAGAATATTAACATGAAAGACAATGGGGTTTAGTGGATATGGAAGGTCACAAAGAGTGTATGCATCTGCGCCATTAAGAACGATTTCGAGCCGTATCACCGATTGTCTCCAGCCATTAGTTCCTAGCATCCCGAGGACCCCAACAAGGAAGCCAGTCTACACCTCCTTGTGTGGCTCAAACCAAGTATCAGAGATTTCACTTTTTGGTTTGACCACCACAACTCTTTTCCAACCTGATCCTATGTCAGCTAGATAGCTTATCATATGTATGTTCATACATTGGTTGTCGGTCATATTAATGCTGAGTGGCATATGGTTATATCTCACCGAAGTTGGTAAAATTCAGTATTTTTATACGCTGATTACTTTTTGTTCATTAAGACTATGTTTTTATGTCTATAGACAGTTGAAAACAACCAAATTTATTAGATTACGTTTGTTGATTGAACTTGAATCATTTAGTCAAAGCAACCACTGGTGGCAGGTTTGACAATATTCTTATTCTGAGTTTTGCTGCTTTATTGTTACTTATTGGTTAACCAGTAGACACATTACCAAATAGTGCTCAGTATATGTTCACGTGTAGTGACACTAAAAATAAGTAATGCCTAGTTATAACTCCATCATGGATAAGGTTTTATTTTGATAAATCACAGTGTTGTACAGTAATATTAACTGACGACCACGTTTCGAGCACAAATTATTCTGTCTGTCTGTCTGGATTCAACATAGAACTTGGCACCAAAGTGTAGCAGTTCGAGTTGCCACGTCCCAAATAGCACACAAAGGTAGACAAGATGAGTGAAGAGAATCAATAGAGTTTGACAAGTATAAGAGTGAAACAGAATGGGTAGGGGTAGAAAGGAATATGAAAGATTACAGAGACTGAATACATCTGCGCTGGCCATTGACAACGATTTTGAGCCATGTCACCTATTGTCTCCAGCCATTGATTCCTAGAGTCCCGAGGGCCCCAACCCGGGAGTCTGCATCTCCTTACCTGACTCAGTTTAACTGTCAATGATTTCATGGATTGATGAGGCCATGTTTTTGTTTGGCCACCACCCACTCTTTTCCAACCTGCATCTATATCAGCTAGTAATGCGCGTCGGGGGAGGCGATGGTTAGGCATGCGCAGCACTAGAACCTAGATATCTCAATCTATGTAACTTTATAGCCTCGTCGATTGATTTTCCCTCTTTGCCCAACACTCTACGCCTAGCGTCAACATTATTTACCTTATTATACTACCTAACGTGAAAAAGAGATCGCAGACATCTATAATCAAAAAGTCAACCTTTTCATGTCTTCAACTCGTATTGGCCATGTTTCAGAGCCATAGACAAGGACGGAGCGAACTGCTGATCAGTACACATGTCCCTTGGTTGATAACCGGATGTCACGCCTACGCCAGAGATGGTGTAAGTCAGCGGAAGTTGCTCGAGCTTTTTGGATCCGTGTTGAGATTTCGTCGCCAATCAGTCCGTTGGTGCTAATACAACTTCCAAAATAGGTGAAGTGGTCAACATGTTCTATCACTTCACTCCCTATCACTAAGCTAGGAGTTGACGTAGTCCAGTCCTGTAGCAGCATCTTACATTTTACAGGAGCGAATCGCATGCCAAACATACGAAGATTGCTGCTCAAGGTGTTCAGAAGACTCTACATTTTGTCAGTATCCTCCCCTAAGAGGACTATGTCATCTGCATATTCTAAGTCCATAAGACTATCCCCTGGTAACAAGTTGACTCCTAAGTCGTTACGTTCAGTTAAGGATGCTTCCATTAGCATATATATGGTGAAGTTAAACAGAAATGGGGAAAGTGGACATCTTTGCCGGACACCACTGGTTGTTATCAATTCAGATGACAATTCCCCATAAGCCCTTACACGGCTACGCACAAATTATTGCTCATAATCATATCAAGTCTAGTGTCTAGTTATATTTTTAGAAAATTCATTCTTATACTAGATAGGGAGCTTTTGTTAGATAATTAGTTTGAAAAATATTACCACTTAAGTCAAAATTTCCATAAACCTTTAGGGACAACAAGAAATCCGTGATCAACTCGTAAAAACATAACTAACCCTTACAAACCCAACTATAGGAAATTAATCTGATGCTCGCTAGTGACTTGCTACAGAATGGAGTTTCCTGGTGTTCTAGTGAGAAGTCCTGACCGGTGGATGGATGTCTCACAAACGACAATGGTTGGGGTCGCGCTAAATCACGAATTGGTAGAAGTTAGAATTTACGAGCCACTGAATCGGGTCCCAGTGGCTGAATGGTATACGAGCTTGCCTTGTAACCGAAAGGTCCTGGGTTCGAATCCCAGTGGGGGGCGAACTGCCTATGATTCCCAAACTAGGATGATACAGCAGCTGTCCAGTACTCCCTGGTTTTCAATGGTTCTCTAACCGATATCAATCCGTGATCAACTCGTAAAAACAACAAGAAAAATAAGTTATGCAGGTGTGTTTCGCTTCATTTTGGTTAAGTACGTAGAAGCTGTCAGATTTAATGAATATTCGCATTCCTTTAGTAAACTTATAAAAGAGAATTGGGGGAGATTAGTCGAATACTTGTAGGCTGTGTTAGCTTTAGTAATAGGTTAATGTGAGCTGCCAGATGGATGATTGTGAGCATAGAAGTAATCAGTTAGTTATGATCATTGTTGAGATACAGATAAGCAATAAATATGAAACAGAACTCCTCAAAGTTCTCAGAAACATTTCCAAGTTACTTATTGAGCCGTTTTGAAAAAAATATTACTACCAAGACTCCTAATTCAGCTAGATTCTGCAAGCTAGTGGTGTTGAGCTACACTTGTCATTGATTATTTTGATAGTACGCTCAATGATGACATCTGACCTAGGGTGATTGAATTCATTATACCTGTTTCAAGTTCAGGTTAGTTCTGCAAACATTGTCCCCGCCTTAATTCAAGGAAGTAAAACACAAATTAACATAGATTGGCTTTAAGGCATTAGATCTCACGACGGTAAATAATCACGTAATTACAGTTAGTTTTGCCACTTTTTTAATGCGAACTCTAACCAAGATTTGACCAAATAGTTCTCATTTTATTTTGATTATTTCTGTGGAGAGATTCGTAGGAGCTCGCCCAACGAAACGTTGGAATTATTGATTTAAATTTGACTGAGATTTATAGAAATGTAATTCTCATATTGGTTCATCTTTTGTGGCCGAGGTGGAATTAATCAATTGGAGCCAATAGTTGTCTTTCCAGATGGTATCTACCTGAGATCTTGCAGTTTGTAGAATTTCCAGCATAATCCATTGACGGACTTAAAATGGTTGCCCGATACTCTGTTTTAAGTCGGACACTTCTTTTTGTATCAGTCCTATTCTGGTTAATTAGTAGTAGTTACCAGTGTTAAACTTTATGAAATTGTTAAGCAGTCATTAATCTGTTGTTAGAGCATTTTCATTTTGAGAGTTATCACAGGGCTCTTGTATACCTATGAATATTAGTCCTACTGAAAGTTTCTAATTGAGAGTAAAGCCGCTACCGATCGTTGCTTTAATCTCGTGTTTTTAGAGGCATTATCTCCAGCGGTACTGACTCGAAGAAATGTTTGTTTTTAAGTAAGCGGTGTCTATGAACATACTAGTGGTATTTTCTGTAAATACAATATTTGCTCTTCTTACCATTATATATATATATATATATATAAGGAATTTTTAAAACAGTATTTTATCATTTATTGTTGAGTCACACTAATAGTGTCAGAGCGGCCAGAGCTGTCCAAGTTGAAGTGTGTGGGATCTGACTTGAACGTGGAACTCATATACTGTTGAGTTCTAAAGCCAGTGACACGCATGTAGTGGAAGTGAGATTTCGCAACAAGTAATATTTCATCGTCATTGTATGCATGAAACTACTGAAAACTTTTAGAGACATTGACTGAAAGATGGTAAAAACAAAAGGAATGTGTTGGGTGTTAGTTTTTTAAATTATCGTAAGACGAAGTTTCGTGTAGCTAGGAAGGATTCTTGTGAAAGTATACAGGTATCAGTGTTTGCATTCACTCCAGAATTCTGGATGTTATAAATCCATAAAAGTAGCAGCTAAAATCACCAAATGAGAATCAACGATGATGGGAAGTACTGGGATCTGTGTACCTTTTTCCCGAACATTGGTACTTATTAAACAAAAATAAATTACTCTGTAAAGGTCTTGTCCATAATCCCGTTACTAATCTGTATGTTTCCTATCTTCATAGCCGTTTATATATATATATTATATATATATATATATATCCATCAAGTTTTTCCTTGTTACATTTTTGATAAAGTAATAATACATGAGTGCAAAACCTTGAAATATATTGTTTTATTTTGTCAGTTTTCTTAATCCTGAACAGATCGCTCGTCAGACATTGGAAATTATTACTAATATAGCACAACATCAGTTCGCTAAATCGGATCGTTATAAATTATGCCGCACTTTGGTTAGTTAGAATTTCGAATCATATTCTCCTATTGTAGATGTTCCTTTTGCAGCATGATTTCTTGTGTGAAGCAATATCTCATTTTGGAGCTGCTTATTTAATATGGGATTTGTGGAAATCAGAACACTTTCCAAATGGTAATAATCCATTTACAGAGTTTTTAGTCTCATATCTGGTTAGTTCATCCAGTGTAATTATAACTTTCTTCATTTGACTTTTAGCAGGATGAAATGAACTGTAAATTACCACGATCTGCAATTTCTATGTTCCATACGGTTCTCCATCAACCTGATCATATTCGTGATGTATGCGCCTATGTTCATTATTTTTATTTGAATATTTATAGTTTTTAAAGTACACTCCATTACAGATTTTTGATTTACAATGTCCCAATATTGATACCAAGGTAAGCTACTTTGAGTAGTTTTCGTTTTTGTGTGAAATGAGATGCTAAAAATTGTAAAAATAATCTCAATTTATAAATATTTAATTTAGCTCAACTGGAATATACCTTCATTTAACAACTCTCCGACTTCATCTTCACGTGTTTCGAAATTAGCCGCCTCTGGATTAGCATGTGTTGTCCCTGATAATGACGTGCCTAATTCTTTTAAGTGAGTCCATTGTTTATATTTACAATTTTCTGTGGTTCTGACCAATAATAAGGGGTTTAAATAACATGTAGTGTGACACAATCCTGTGTTGATTCAGAACCCAAGAATGAAACAAAAACTAAGGATAAGAAGTACAAACAAGTTAAAGTAGTGATATGATTGGTAATGAGAAATTAAGACGCATAATAAAACAAGTTAGAGTTGAAAGTACTTTTTCTGAGTCGTTTCATTTTCTAAGCCAGGAAGTTTATGAAAAAGTTTTCTTAAGAAGTGCTTACAGTAACAACCTGCTAATGATGTTTGCTTCCTGTGACTGTACTTTTTATCAACGTTAATTCTCAAGTAAGTAGAAGCGTCTTCCTAAGTTTTCTCTGATGTTTAAGTCATTTTATTGTACGCCGTCGATGGCGAACATTGGTGGTGAGTGATCATTTATTTTGAAAAGTATTCTTGAACTTCAGCCATGCGGTAATTGTTGGCTATTCTCACGATTATTAAATACCGTATTTGTTCGGGTGTAGAAATAAAAATAAAGCTGTTTAACCACCTACAACAAAAGGCCCCCATGTTATTTTTTGTGGATCTGTCGAACTTGTCGACAAGAAAACATTTGATTCTGTCTGGATCAGACCATAATTAGGAGTGAAAAATAAATGAAAGTAGAACCTTGTATTGAAGTACATCATTTCAAAATGTCACACCTCAAGATAGTACACAAAAAAAAATCAAAAACTGAAGTGTGTTGGTACTACATTTTTGAGTTATGTCACCAGGAATTATCAACCATCGATTTTAATATCTTGAGGTCTTCGTTCAGCAAACCGACACATGATGTGAGTTTGGCTAACGTTGGGAATCTTCATGGATTGTGGAAGTGTATGACTCAGCAGTGTGTTTTACCCTACTATACAGCTGTAGAACATCACCACTGGAAGCAGATAACACCAAAATATTGTGTTCTTGACCAAATAGTTTTTCGACATTGTTCACGTTAGTTACAACTACAAAGTGATGTAGAGTGTAATTACAAAGTACCAGGTTAAGAAGACAAATTATTCGATGAATATTCACTGATGTTTCTGACGTATGTGTTATGCATGCCAAGTTACTATCTTCCTCGTTGGCCCGTGTTTGTTCAGAGGGGGAAAACGTTGGAGGGAACCAAACAAAGGTATCATAGGAATCCATGGATCTATTGATTATTGATCTGAATTATTTACAAAAGTGTAGGATTTTTCACTGTAATTTTAGACAAGGTTGTAGGCTTCGTGATACCACCCTTTTTATTCTCATTGTTTTCGTACAGCTAATTGATCTAAAGTATTTTAACGCTTCGTATTACGTATGTTTATGCATAAATAAAGTGCCTCCAGGTAACGGTTAGAACGTATCAATTATGGTCTGGGTTGCAACACTAAATTTTGCTGTGTTTTATAACGTTTTTTTGGTTTACTTGCTATGTTACGTGATGCTATTGTTCGGTATTTGTGCTTTGTAACGCCAGTTAGTTCCTTTCCAACTGACTTGCAGTGTGAGAATTCGATTCCGCTGTCTTGAGTACTGACATAACAGTCCTGTTAATAAGCACGTTTGAATCTGGCACACATAATAAGTTTCCTTTGGAATGTTGGTAGGAATTGTTTTAAGTTTTAACAGATTTAGGATGTGAGGAAGGGGATCAGTTAGTGTTTACTGTTTACTTAAAAGCTGTATGAGTCTTTCTCATTTTTACTGTTAACCATGGATGTTTGTAGTCACCCTTTTCTTGCCGCGTCAACCATTTTTCACATTTACTGCCTCAATTTTTACAATTATAGGTCTTCTTTTCATTTACATAAAGCTGGTACAGTTGATTCATCCAATACAGCAGACCTACAACGTCAGTGTTTGGACTCATTATTGGCTCGTGGTGAACCATTGAGTTGTCGAAATAATATATATCCCGAATTTCTTCGTGTTGCTCCACCTTTATTACCGTGTCCTCAAGGAATTGATAAGATTTTATATGATCTAGATGAAGAGTTTGAATCTCCTATTCATACAGACATTGGTGCTATTCCTGTAGACAAGAAATCCTCAGCAAAGAAATCTAGACCTACTTATGGTTGGTGCGAAGAACTTATCTGGCTTAATCCTGATATTGTGGAACATGATTTCCATTGGAATAGCAGTGTGGAGTTGGTCAATATGACAGTTGAGGTAGTTTTCAAGTCAGTTATTCTTTTCTTTTTTATTCATTTTTGTTGACAATATTTAGTAGGTTTGGAGATCATTTTTTTCTAAAACTGTTTGAAATATGCATACACATAGCTATCTGAAGCTTAGCAGGATCCCCGAGTATTACAACAAACCTCCCTGACTTTAATTCATAGAAATTAATTTACATAGTTGTTCGCTTCTTCCTAATTTAATGGGAATCTTTTCTGGATTTCTGTAGATTAATTAGCATGCAAATATCTGTTACAGGTTTTTATTCACAGCCCATATTTGTAAAATCAACTTCCGTTACATAATAAAATTGATATGCCTGAAATCGGGAGATGGCTTCATCTCAATCTCCCTACACCCAAGGCTCGATAGGAAATGGACTTATTATCAACACTGAAGTTAATGTGTCCATTGGAGATTATCATGATTCCAAAATCAATGTAGAGAAGTGGTAAGCGTCAATTGGTAAAACAATCACATTAGATAATCAAATGTATTTACCTGACCGATATCGTCTTTTAGTGAAATTACATCCGAATCTGAATAAAGCAAGAACATAGAGATTTTGCGGAATAATATGGTACCATTATTTATTTCTTTGGCTTCTCATCAGCTGCTTACAGCCTAAATAGATTGTGAAGTTTATGTACAGATAGGTTTTAACATACTTGCAAATTTTACATGATGTCAGTTGATAGGAGGTTCTGGACAGTGCTCAGGAAATTACGCTTATATAGTTTTTGCACAGGGGGTTCAAGTTTAAACAAGGTAAGTGTATGCATATGTTGGTAAAGGAGTTGCGTAAGATGATGAGTAACTAATAAATTAGGTAACAATGTACTGAGTTCAACTCATATCATAGAAACAAGAGACTATATATCAAGGGGGTTGAGGTTAAAGCCAAATATTACGTAATCAAATGAAAGAGAGAATAAAGACATCCAGTTACCAGAGCAAGGAAAAACTGATAACTGATTCTTTCTGAACATATGAATCGCGTTTCAGGTGTTTGGTAGAGGTCGCTTCTGCAAACTTGAGGAGAATTGAGCTCTTTTGTCTACTGATGATATTAAAGAATTTTGCAGTTTCCACTTCATGACTGGTATCAAGGAGACGCCTGGTAATAGAACTGTTGTAAACGTTTGTTCCTTTAAAACGTAGGCTTTTCGGTATATGTCCAGAGAATTGAACGTGTACCCTTTCTTCTTTTCTCCCAATCTAACTGCTCCCGCAGATACACGTAAATTTGTATACACAGTTGGGGTTGAAATGAGAAGGGTATCTGTCGACTTTTGACTGCACCAAAGAGCATGTTGTTCGATAGATTGAAACCAACTTAGTTTCAGGATACTCTGGCTAGTAAAGTACTCGGTCTTCTGTTGACTATCGCTGCAATATTTTCACCCTTAAAATTGAGTTGAATGAAGACAGGCTTTTTTCCACTTTGATTTGTTTGGTGTTTGAGCCTTCCCATCTTCCATATTTGTTAATGAATCTCTGAGAATAACTGTTGTTTTTCAGCATCTTTTCAAGAATCTTAAATTCTTTTAATTTCTCCGCAGAGTATATTCTCCCAGCTCTTTAGTACAGAGTCTTGACTAGTGTTCGTTTATAGCTATTTGGACAAAAAACTATTAAAATGTCCAAATCTCTTCATCATTTTCAGTCTGTTGAATTTAATAATAGCTTTTGGTAACGTGGTTGATAGTGATTAGCAGTGGAATCCAGTATGCTTATTTCGTCCCCTCTGGTTCTCGTCATCTGGATTTACTTGCATCTCCTCTGAGTAATAGTGTTCGCGCTGGTGGATTTGAGTGGTAGACAACTACTCATCCCAACCAATCAGTAGTTTATAGTTGTAGTTGATCAGTTGTTAACTAAATGGTAATTGGAGATGTGATTCATTGGCTTTGAAAACTTGACTGAGTAACATCATCAATTCTCATTGAATAAATGTTTCTCTTAGTCTGATTCATAGAAATTTTTTTGTGGATAATTAGACTACAATTTATTTAAAGATAATATGTATTTCTTCTAGTATTTAATATGCTAGAGAGGAGTAAAATGCACAACAATTCAGTATTCTTGTGAAAATTAATTTTTGAATATCTAGCTGGGTATATATATATATATATATATGCGCTAACGACGTTGTTGAGTAGTCCAAGCCAGGGTATTTCAGGGGTGGGGGTGGGAGAAGCGAAGTCTTGTTGAACCTTGATATTGAGTTGCTGGTGACACATGTTGTGGATTCCTCTGTTATCTATCAAACAAGTATTTTCTTTGCGTAGTATATGAAATATTTAAGTTGAACCCGTGTACTGATTTATGTTTGACGTATTAATGAGGGTGAATTTGCATATTTTTTCCTTGTATGAGTATATTCCTTTCCGGTTATGAGACATGAGATAAGGAGGACTAATAATTTAACTTAGACTACTTATAATTAATTTTCAAAGTTTATTCATCAATAATTTTTTAAAATCTATTTTGGGAATTTCTTTTTTGTTTTACAGCTGCGTCAACTAATCGCAACAGCAATGGCATCTACATTAACTCAGTCACAACAACACACTATTGTACAAGCGATTAAAGATAATCCAAATGTTATTCATAGCGTTGGGATTACCGCGGAAATTGTAAGTAGATAGTAAGCTAATTGTATTTTTATTGGATTGTACAGCCTCTGAAGATGATTTCATCGATAGAGAAAATTTTCTTCGCTAAATTTGTCTTTTATTTATTAGATTTATTGTTTATTTTGATGTAGCTGTCTTCTCTGAGCTGGATAGTTTATTTGCAAAGCTTTCATTGCCCTACTAGGCAACATCTTCAACGCATACTTCCGATACTGCTGATTTGATCCAGTTCGTACGGATAACTTTTACTAACCGTCGGTAAACAGTTTGATACTTTGAGTACTGTAGCCACTAAATAAGTATACTCACTGGGGCCTGCTTGAATCTATGGGGCTACATGAATTACCATCCAAGATAATGCATCTTATTTTCTTTAGTCCTTGTTGTTATAATGCGTGTGTCTCCAAATGTACTCGTGCACATTTTTAATTGGTTTGCAGCCTATCGTTGAGCATTTCTGTGGCACCAAAGAAAAATACCGTAGTGGAATATTTTATTTTTCAGATCTAACATCGCTGAGTTACATGATGCACTGGAGATGGGTGTTTTACTTGAAACTGCTAAAATAACTGCTAGATTCAATAAACTACGCTGAAAATTGTGCATATTGTGTAAACTTATTGTGCATAATACAGCTATTGTTATTATTATTATTATTATACTAAATAGGATAATGCTGTTTTCATCAGTGATGAATAAGGAAGCCCTAAACCTAGGTTTCGTGCTAGTTGGCACTCGTCAGTCAGCAAGGCGTATCTGCAGCTTTGAAGAAACTCATGTCCTTTCTGAGATTCGAACCCGGTATTCCAATCAAGAACGTTACCACTAGGCTATTTGAGCTCGTAATTGACCTCCTCTATGACTGTAATGGATACTTTGATTGGACACTACATTTGGAGCAGACTGAATTCTGTCTGCTGTCTACATTACAAACCTGACTGATAGGATTCAGTCTGTACCAAACAAAACACTAGACGTATGACATTAGTTGCTACGTAGTATCCAGTCGAGGTAAAATTACGCGTAAATTATGTTTGGAATTATAATTTGTTGATTGTTTTGTGACATGTAATGCCAATTAAGGTACAGCAGTGTTGCATTAATTACCTTACCTTTTAAATTGACGGTACTTGGTGAAGTTTCATATTGAAGACCATCCATGACTTACCTAGTGGAATGGTCATTTTTAGCACGTGAACTCGATAGCTTGTATATTGACTGTTAAGCCTCAGCTATTTTATGTATTCTCCCCTTACTCTCCATACATGTGTAATATAGGTTTAGTGACTTGGTTTAAAAGCGTTTAATAATTTTGTTATTCAGTAATTTGGTTTATATAGGAAAAAATTCGTTTATCAATAAAAATACTTTGGGTTCATGGTATATTTCACCGCGAATCAACATTAGCCAGTACTTGAGAAGTAGCGAACGGTGGAGTGTTCTTTGAGTTGTGTGTGTGACAACGGGTATCCGCCGATGACAAATTGCAAATCGATGAAAGTTAATGTTCATGGACCATTGGATTTCGATTCATTAGTAACCCTTGTATCCTGAAGACTCTGATATCATTACCTGACGGGATCATGCATGTGCACTGATGATGAGTCCCCCACTACAGCGAAACAGCTGTCCAGCAGTGCGCCTCAGTTTTCAGTGGTTTTCTAACTATTGTCAGTTCATGACCAAGAATTTACTTTTAAATCAGTTGAGTCTCCAGCACTTAAAAATACCAAGACAACTCAGCATTTCAGTTCAGTGTGTATGACGGGGTGGAATTTGTAGAGGTTCGTTAAATCATCACATATTCTAATCGAGAAAACTTCAGAATGAGGATTATTTTCTCCGTCTTAAATTTCATAGAATATTTTTATCATCATTGAGGGGGCATTTCTGTACACTTTTTATTTCTTCCCTAATTTAGATAGTTAATTAATGAGTTATAAAGGTTTCATTATACTTCGCTATATTGTAGTTGATTCCATGATTGTGAATCATTTCTCAGTAAGGAAAACGAAAACCAGTTTATGTTTCTTTAAAGTGTATTACAAGGAGTGTTTTTGCTCAAAATATTATCTAAATTGAATCTTGTCACTGCTTGCAAACATCCACTGCAAATAATCATTGATTCCTTTGCTTTCTAAGTGGAACATAGAGCTTTAAGCTTTAGCTTTGAAGTTTCAGTAGCAGTGGAGTTGTTATTTACAGGATGGGGTTGCTAGTCGCACACACATGCTGCCCTCTTCACCGAACTTATTGTCGAATAAATAATCTAGGCTTAAGTGTACGTCGGCAGGGATTCGAACCTTCACCACATGCGTGATTGGCGAGCATTCTGCTGTCTAACCAAACATTACAAATAAACATGTCATAAATTCACCTTCTCCAGTAAATTGACGTTATTCTGAATTTAACAATCAGCTTTTTAACCAGTTGGTTTCGATTAATTAATTAATGGACTCTTGTTTTACGACTATAAATCGGTTCTCTTTATTTGCTCACTCTGGAGAATGTACAAATGAAGAGGTTTATTCCATAGCTTTACGTATTTCACATAACTATATAAGATAATATTTATGTTTATTATTTATTTTCTCTCTCGTCTATTCTACTGTATCTTTATTTGACAGCTACCAAATCTTGTTAATCGTAATCCAGTGATTGCAATTGAGGTTTTACAATTACTAATTACATCACCTAAACGAGATGAGTAAGTTATGCTTTAAGTCGTTCATTCTCTGTAAAGTTATGTTTCTGTGTTGCAAATTCTTATATATATATATATATATATATATATATATTCTAGAATAGTAGTCAATATCAATATTAGTGTTTTCTAAATAATATCGATTTGTAAAGTATGATCAATGCGGTTACACTTCACTAAAGATGCTTAAATAATAATAAGATATAATAGCAAATAGAATATCAACTAAAATTAGGAAAACTCCACAAAAATTTAGAATCATTCAAAACTAGATGGTCAAGGTAAAGATAATGTCTGGACTAACTTCTTTTGGACGCACAAATTAGGCTTCATAATGTGAGTCCCAACAGCCAGCCTCAGCAATATCTAGTAAACAAACTCTTAAGGTGAAGTTAGGATTTGTTGGTATGCAGTAAATGATTCTGAAAACCTGGTTAACATCAATCTTGTGTTCTGTTTCCACAAGATGAGACAGAATAGCGCTATGAATAGATTTTCTTCGACCTTTACTTAACCATACAGGACAATGTTCAGAATTACGCTGTTTCTTCAAGACCACTCATCTTTTACCTTCGGGAGTAAAAGATAAACTGCCTAATTTCTCCTCTTCCATATGTATTCACCAATTTAACTGCCCCTGTGAAGCCAGTTACATAGGCCTTACAATTAGGCGTGTTTCTCGTCAAATTTCCGAACATCATTATTATTATTTATTTAAATATTATACATATTTAATATTTAAATATTACTTAAAAAACACTAATATTGTTATTGACTACTATTCTAGAATGTTCTACGTATTTTAAGTCATATATAATTGTAGAACCAGAATAGGAAATTATCGAAAAGGATATTCTTTGCTCAATTACTTTGTGTTTTATAGATGTCCGAATAAGTAGTTTCGCTATATTGAAATCTTCTGAACATCCGAACCAGTAGGTCACGATGAGCTAGATTATGAGAACATAAAAGTGTAACTAGATCTAGAATAATTGACCCTCCTAAGTTAAATAATTCAGAAAAAAGTTACATCATTGGTTTGCTTGCATTTAGATATAATTGCACAGTAGAGTGGGAAAGGTTGAAAGCATTTAACTGTAATATAGTTAGGTGGAAAGAGGGAGAGGGAAAATGACCGTTGAATGTAACATCCAATATGTAAGTTTGAAGTGACACGACACCAATTCCATATTCATGGAAAATTGCATTAGAAATCAGGAGGGTGTAAATCTGTTTGAAGCAGGTGAAAAAGTTGTGTAAATATATTGATATAATTTATCAGCGATAAATAGTAGTCCAGTTATTAACGCTATATCACTGTGTGCTACTATTAACTAAACTTATCTGACTAGTTGAGTTTCAGCATGGAACTTTGCACAAAAGTGCGACAGTTCAAGTCTCCACCCTCTACATAGTACACAAAAGTAGACGAAAGAGAAGAATGGATGATTACCAAAAGAGTTTTTACTTTATTTATATTTTTATCATGCGATTGTCACTGAATAACAGTCTGTCTCAGATCAATCCATGTAGGTCTTCGATTCAACTGGTTTTCTTCGCAATGCTCAGCCCAACTGAATTTTTTTTAGCAATATCCAGATTCTCTTTGTGTACTTGTGTGTGTGTGTTGGCTTCCTGTGATTCAGCGATACTGTAGACTTTAGCACCATCTTCTATATTCTAATTCTAATAGTACAGTGCAGAATAATCTGCAAATACATTAAAACATATACAATTACTAGGTTTAGTTCTGATATTGACTGGCGCAAACACTGATCATTAGGTTACTTGTTTATTTCGATCATATAAGTATTTTCCCATTAGTGGTAATGTAGCCGTAGAAGACAAGGCACTTGGTAACAGGACGTTTATTAGAAATTTGGTATCTCTATATAATCAAGTTATGTACACCTTATCTTCATATCGTAATTTGCACAGATCTTCCGTATTGTACTACTTCTGGCCTTCCTTCATATTGTGTTTCTTTGTATTCCTTTCGCGTCTTCCATGTATCTCCGCGATACTGAATAATTTTCTTCCTCTGACATCAAATCTACCTCCCTGTTATTTGATGTTTTTATGCCGATGAATGTCTCTTCATGTACTACCGATTAATCTTATCAGTAGTACACGCCACAGTAGTATGATAACTATTACAAATCCCTACTACATTCTGCGAATTTTAATTTCCACGTTATCATTCACAGTTATATCTTAATTACCCTTATTTAACAGATGAGCACATGGGTTTTCAAATGAGCTTATGTAATGACCTGGAAAATCTAATACCTCTTAGCTTCATTTACTTTTTTATGTAGGAAAAGTTGACTAAGTAGTTTTTTCTGAATAAAAAAACAAGTACACCGTTCGTGTATATACACCAGGCTTAGCTCACCATTTGTATGGATTGGTCAAGGTTTGAATACACATTAGTATTCACTGTTGGCAAATATGAAAATTTAAGCACAAAGTAATGATCATTGGAAGAAAGGATACTTATTCAAACTACCAAAGAAAGGAGACTTAAGTCAATGCAAAAACTGGCGCGAAATTATGCTCCTGTCCATCCCAAGCGAAATATTAAGCCGCATCATCCTGGAGAGAATCAAACAAACCCTGGATGAAAAACTTCGACCGGAACAGGCCGGATTCAGGAGAATCAAAAATCATGTATTGATCAAATCTCCACTCTACGGATCATCATTGAACAAAGCTTCGAATGGCAGTTATCTCTCTATCTCAACTTCATCGACTTTGAAAAGGCCTTCGACAGCGTCGATCGAGAGGTGATTTGGAAGCTACTTCGCTACTACGGGGTGCCATCGACAATTATACATCTCATCCAACAGCTATACGACAATGCTGCATGCCAAGTAATCCACAACGGGAAACTTACGGAAGCCTATGAAGTGAGGACGGGAGTGAGACAAGGCTGTCTACTATCGCCAATGATCTTCCTGATTTCAGTAGATTGGATAATGAGACAGACAACGGGCAATGAGGAAAAAGGCATAAAATGGACTCACACAAAGAACTTAGAGGATCTGGACTTCATCGATAATATATGTCTGATTTCCCACAAACTGGAAGATATTTTTTATTTTTTTTATTTATTTTTGATTTACAGCTTGATTCCACACTGTATTTTTGGTACAAGTATGGAATTTTCAGCATGGATAACGGTAGCCCAAATTTTGCAGGCCGACCACAGATATCAGGTGAAAAGCAACAAGCTGTCAGAAGAAGCATCAAAGATAGGACTTCAAGCGAGCATAGATAAAACAAAGTTGGTGAAGATTCTTGGCCAACACCAACAGCAACAACAACAGACAACAATCAGCATAAATGGGAGGAACCTGAAAGAAACAGCCTCCTTCACCTACCTAGGAAGCATCGTTTCAACTACAGGCGGAACTGATGAGGATATCAAAGCCAGAATCGGAAAAGCAAGACAGGCTTTCATTACCCTTAAGTGTGTGTAGAGGTCAACAGCACTTAGTGTCAAAAATAAGATCCGGATTTTCAACTCCAATGTAAAGTCAGTGCTACTATACGGATCGGAGACTTGGTGCGTCATAAAGAGCATCTCAAACAAACTACATACCTTCATCAACAGTTGTCTTCGCTCAGATGGCCGGCCAGAAAAGATCAGCAACAGGGATCTCTGGAAATGAGCGAACCAACACAGCAGGAACAGATTGTGAAACAAATAGGCAGGAAGAAATGGAGATGGATTGGCTGGCCATACTCTGAGGAAACCGTCAAGTGACATCACTAGACAAGCCATCGCTCAAGTGGAACCCGAAAGGGAAGCGGGCAGCGAGTTGGTCGTCAGTGCAAGGGTGACTTGGAGGAGGTCATGTGAGGAGGAGATGAAAGCGTGTGGACAGACTTGGAGCGGGGTGAAAAAGTTGGCAGAAAACCGAAGGCAATGGAGATGCGCAGCTGAAGCCCTTTGTTCCCCTAGGAATTAAAGGATATAATGATAATAATGATCATTTGTTTTCCTTATTCTTACTTCAAACAGAATTATAAAACTGATGCTATGATATCAAGTATCAGGTGATCACAGGAAATTATGCACTTGAGTAAAATAGTTTATTAAACAAGAATTGTACATAAGAGAAAATACATATGGGTTCAGGAAGTAGAAAGGTGATGTGCGAGTTACACTTTATTGGCGTTGTATGTCACTCAAGTTGTAGTCCTTTCCTTATTTTATAGGCGCATTAGTGACCATTGAAATACTGTCATCAGGTTTGATGATGTGATGTTCATAGTGTAAGCTATAAGTTTATCTACAGAAACAATTTTAACATACTTGCACAGAAAGATGCGGTTATCAGTCTTTCTTTGCCCTGGTAACTTTCATCTGATTGCGCAACACCTAAAGATTGCATTTTGTATGCTTATTGTTGTTTGGGATAAAGTGATTATTAGTATTATCAGCATTGTATGCATATATTGATTTTTTTTGTTTAAAAATGAACTCTTTGCAAATATGTTGAAATTGTTTCTGTACATAAACTTAATAGTGAGAAGCCAACGAAATAAATGATGGTACCATTTTATTCTGCAAAAATCTGTTGTTCTCGCTTTATTCCAATTTTATGGTATCCGTTTACTGACGAAGTGGTAGGGCTTACAGACGAATGTCTGTAATCATTTGTCAGTGTTCACGTTTCTTAGCTTAGTGATCACACTGGAAACTTTGTGGGTAGATTTCAGGCAACGCCACCAGCTAAACAATAACATGACAGTGAATAATGATTAGAAGAATTTAATGCAAAAATTAATTTAGTCAGTTTTTGATTTATCTCTGTGTTAACAGTACTGCTGATGGTTGGTGACTGTTTGTTACTCTTTTTCTTCTCATTTTATCTTACGAAGGTACTTGAATGCTTTATTGAAAATGGAGGTCACCGTACAATCAATCGAAGTAGTGAATAGATTATCTACAAAAATAGTCTTACCTACAGAATTCATACAGAATTATATATCGAATTGTTTAGCATTTTGTTATTCAGTACAAGATAGATTCTATCAAATGCGTCATGTACGACTTGTATGTGTACTTCTTCAATCACTTATCCGAAACAATATATTAGATATTCATAATCAAGTAAGTCCTGTTTACTTTAAAATTACCTAAAATCTATTTATTACTAAGGGATTTATTATCTCTATGTACTAGCAATGTTAGGTTTACATTTGAAGGTGATTGTTTCCTCCAAGTAGATGGTGTTGCTATAGGAAGTCTGTTAGGGCCCCTTTTAGCAGGTATTTATATGTCGTACATTGAGAGTTTATTGGAGGATTTAATCGAAAATGTGCCACTGTATAGAAGATATGTAGATGATATTGTAATCATGAGTGATAAGCCTTGTTCTGCCACCTCAATTTTAAATCGAATGAATGTAGTTCAGAATAGCATATCACTTACATCTGTAGAAGAGGAGGATAATTGTTTATCTTTCCTAGACATATTTTTTAGTCGATGGCTTAATGGGTCAATAAAAAAAATATATTTAAAGAAAACCTTCCTGGACAGGACATTATCTTAATTACCACAGTTTTCGCCCTGTTCGGTACAAAAGAGCCTTAGTAAGGTGCCTCTTCAGTAGAATCCGACGAATATGCACTGAAGACACACTTGATGACGAAGAAAGAAAGTTGACACAAACTCTGGTTGATCACAATTATCCAGACAAGTTCATCAGGGGATATAAAGTAGTCAGAACACCAAGACCCACTCTCCAACTCGCCCCTAAGAAAGACGTGTACGTCAAGCTATCCTATAGGGGCATCATAGCAGTCTGATAACTGGATAAAGATTGAACGTTGCTGTTAAAAAGACTTATTATGCAGCTAATATCATAATAATTGAGAATGTGAAGTCAATATATCTGTCTAAGCCCTTTGAACATGCGAAATATGATGTCACATCCCACTGTATTTACCAATTTGAATGTACGTGTGAACACACATACATAGGGAGAACCCATCGATCTCTGTAAGTAAGGGCTTCAGAGCACGTTCCCAAGTGGCTCCAGAAACAAATAGAATCTTCAGAACCCATTAATGGTGAGATGGCTAAACCCTGATTCCAAACATCCAACGACTGGCGTATGAAGCTCACCGGCAGACGTATGGACAAAGGGCTTATTGGATCTGTCTGTCTGTTTTCGACATAGAACTTTGCACAAATGTGCGGAAGTTCAAGTCGCCACATTCCGTGTAGCACGCGAAGCAAGAGAAGAAAGTACAAGAAAAGCATAATAGAAACAGTGAGCAGAGGTGTGAGACAAAGGAGTAATAAAGAAATACAAAACAGTTTCATTGAAGATCATAAGTCACAGGGAGTGGATGCATCTGCGCCACTGAGAACGATTTTGAGCCATGTCACCAATTGTTTCCAACCATAGATTTTTACCGTCCCGAGGACCCCAGCCTGGAAGTCTACACCTTCCTACGTGGCTTAGACCAACTGTTGTGGATTTCATTGACTGATGCCAAGTTTTTGTTTGACCGCCGCTAGCTTTTTTCCAGCCTGACCCTATATCCGCTAACATAGCTCGTCGAGGGAGGCGATGACTTGGCATACGTAACACATGTCCTAACCATCTCAGTCGATGTAGCTTCACGACTTCGTCGATTGATTTCCCCTGTTTACCTAGAACTCTACGCCTAACCTCCATGTTGCTCACCTTATTATGCCACTTTACACGGGAAATAGAACGCAGGCACCTATGATCAAAGACAGCTAGTCTTTTCATGTCTTCCACTCTCAGTGGCCAGGTCTCACAACCATAAAGGAGGACGGAGCGGACTGATGAGCAGTACACCCGCCCTTTGGTCGATAGTCGAACATCTCGTCTACGCCAGAGTCGGCGTAAACTAACAAATGCGAAACGAGCCCCTTGTATTCGTGCTGAGATTTCGTCAGAGATCAGCCCGTTGGGGCTGATGGTACTTCCCAAATAAGTGAAGCGGTCAACGTGCTCTACCACTTCACTTCCTATTTTTAAACTAGGCGTCGATGTAGTCCAGTCCTGTAACATCATCTTGCATTTGGCGGGAGCGAATCGCATGCCAAACATTCGTAGATTGCTGTTCAAGGTGTTTAGAAGACTCTGCATTTCGTCAGCGTCTTCGCCTAGAAGGACTATATCGTCTGCATATTCCAAGTCAACGAGATTATTCCCAGGTAGCAAGTCAATCCCTGAATCGCTGAAGTCACCTAGGGTTAAGTCCATTAACACATCTATGATGAAGTTGAATAGAAAAGGAGATAATGGGCATCCTTGACGGACACCACTGGTCGTCATCAGTTCAGATGACAGCTCGCCGTAAGCCCTCACCTGGCTGTATGAGTACGAGTAGAGTGCCTTAATCAGTGCAATATATTTTCTTGGAATTCCCTTTACAGCCAAGCATCTCCAGAGAACTTCCCGATCGACAGAGTCGAATGCTGCCTTTAGGTCAAGAAATATAATGACTGTTGGACGCCGGTAGGAATGCCTATGTTCTAGAATCTGTCGGAGGGTGAAGATATGATCAATACACCCTCTTCCTGGTCTAAAGCCTGCCTGGCTCTCTCGTGTTTGTGCTTCCCGAGCACCACTCAGTCTACGCATGATTATTGAGCCTAAGACTTTAGATACTATATTAGTCAAGCTAATCCCTCTGTGATTATCACAGGAAGACTTGTCTCCCTTCTTGTATATGGGGATAATCAGTGACTTACACCAACCCGATGGGACTTCTTCTGATTCCCAAACGCTGCCTAGTACCTCAGTTAATCCGGACAGTAAGCTGTCTCCACCGTACTTAAATACCTCTGGCGTCATTCCATCAGGTCCCGCTGCTTTGCCTAGTTTCAGATTGGTGACAGCTTTAGTAACCTCAGTTAGTGACGGAGGACCTGTATCTATATCCCATTCAGGGAGGTGTTGGATGCTCGGAAGGTTGAGCGTGGCTGTGGGCAAATTAAACTGCTCCTCATAATGCTCTTTCCAACGATCCAGTCGTCTATCCTGGAGCTAATTATAGTGCCATTTTTTTCCGAGATTGTCTCACTAATGATTTGTCTTCTCCCACCCGTTTCCCTGATGAGTCCAAAGAGTTGCCTGGTGTTGCCTATCCTCAAAGCTTATTGGATGCCCTGGATGTCTGGCCCCATTGAAAAAGGCGTATGAACCGGACTCCGGTCACCGGCTGCCAATGGATAGTGGACTCCCTACTCCACTCCTACTGCCTTGTAGGTCACACTTGGTTGTGTAAAGGCTAGAGCTGCACTCTCAAACAAAAGGCCGAGCGATGCTGGGGACATTACTCGTACCTAATTCCCATGAAACTTCATGAACTCTCTACAACATCAACCAAATTCCAGTACTGGTCCAACAACGTCGCCTTCGGTGGTTTGGCCATGTTCTGCGCCGACCAGATGACTATCTGGTCAAATCAGTTCTAAATCCCTCGCCATTTCCATCTTGACGATGTCGCAGGGGTGGACAGCTGAAAACATGGCTTGGTACAGTCAAGGCTGATATGGAGTGCCTGGAGCTACAAACCGTCTACGGACTCCGTTTGTGGAACAAGAATTGGATAATCCTGTTGCAAAAGTTTGCATCAGATCGCCGCGCCTGGGCAGCGATGATTCGAGATGTTCATGAAGCCGGCTCATCCTCCCGTAATAGATAGCCGAAGTAAAGTAAGTATTAATGGTGAGAACAGGAAACCTAGCTTCTCCTCTGTTGTGAAACATATTATAGGGACAGGACATAAAATTGATATTAGTAAATTGTTCCCTATATGAATTTAGTTAGACAAAGCAATAAGAAGACGTAGTTTGTCTGAATCGTGTGTAATGTGCATTTGCGTAACACATTTCGAACAATCTGATCACATACATGAACTTGTCATAGGGAATACATAAATATGTGAAATTAACAAAGAGTTAAAAGGTGAGAAAATAAATTTAGGTTAAGTTAAACGGACATATTGAAGATCAAAATAATAATGAAGATTGCTAAACCAAATAACAGAGGTAATAGGTAGACCTACCACCTTGTTATCAAAACAAAGTTGACCAAGGAAGGTTTATTGTCATAACAAGTTGTTTTTGAACGCATAAACGTGGTTTAAACTTTCTAATTGCTAAGACTTCCTTAAACTTTAGGATACGCCCCGAACACGTTTTATAGATAGGTTTAAAAGATCTGTTAACATCACTTTTATGTCCTGTCTCTATAATATATTTCGCAAAAGAGGAGCTAGATCTTCAGTTCTCACCATTTAATGGGTTCTGGCAATGATAGTCAGAATTATTCTAAATTCTACAACGTAGTGAAATCTACTATCAAATAGTTTTTTTTCCTTTCAAGAGAGATTTTAAGTCAACATAGTCTTATGCTTTTGTTTCGTTCTCATCCACATTGTATATTTATCAAGGAAAAATTAACCAGAAGTAAACTTTGTCCTTTTCCAATTCTAAAAGCCGTAAATACACACTGATCTGATCTATTTGGCTTTGCATCACATATGATCCTTGTAGCGCTGAACGTGTTTTACAGAATTACAACAACTTCTTTTGATTGTAATAACATTTTTTCTTGGTTTATTGAACAATGGTATGACATTAATAAGTAGTACATATTATATAAAATGTAATCGTCGTGACCAATAGATTAATAGGCATGTTTCTTAGTAGCAGTAAGCGTGTCGATTATTAAATGCAATATAGTCAGTGGTGGAATATATGATTACGTCATCCGACCTGTAGCCACACATATTGTGTGACAGTTGATGATACCAACCGGTTGGTCAGGTAAGGCGAAACTCGAGCCTGGAAGTAGCATAAGTACAAGACAGCCAGTGTTAGCTTTTACCTTTCCTACTATGTTTGCTGTCAGTTAATAAGCAGCCTACATTTCTAAGCTTTGCAAAGTAGATGGTATTTCGTAGACTGAAAGGTCATTGCTGATTTCCAGCATGTAAATGACTCACTTTGTTAAATTTTCTACTTAGTATTGGTTTTGTAGGGATTTGGTTGACTGGTTACAGGATTTCATCATAAGCTGACATTGGTTAGAGAACCATTCGAAAACCTGGGATTACTGGACAGCTGTTTCGCCCTAGTTTGGGACTCTACATCAGTACGCACCCAGTGGGGTTCGAACCCAGGTTCTTCTGGTTATAAGGCAAGCTCGTAGACCATTGAGCCACCGGGACCCGATCCAATGGTTCTTGAAGATAGAACACATGGGCTAGCTGGCCATTGAACCGCAGTGGGTGCGTACTGATGAAGAGTCCCAAACTAGGACGAAACAGCTGTCCAGTACTCCCAGGTTTTCCAGTGGTTTTCTGCTTAGTGTTTATCGTGAAGCAATTTATTTTCTTATATCTGCATCAAAAGTTCAGTGACCACAATAGTGTCTACTTGAAAGTTTTCATCCAAATAGTTGCAGTCAATTTAGTGTTTCATTATTCTCAGTTTTAACCACATAACTAAACTATGGCTGTATTGTATACAGCGTTTACAAACTGATTACCATTGTTTTTCTCTTAGTAATAATTGTATATCCATTTGTATTTTTTTATATTTCAGGATATTTTGATTGAAGTAAGGACATTTTGTGTAGAGTTTACAAAGGCACGGGAAGCGACTACACTTCATCGATTAATATTGAATATGGAGAATGCTGCTAATACACAGCAACAAGATACTTCTAATTCAAATACTGAGACCACTATCTCTTGATAATCTATTGAAAATTGCTGTTTCTAATTTCTTTTTACTAACAGTACAGTATGTAAACTACAAGTTGTACAAATTACATATGCAAATATCACTGAAATGTTTTTTTTCTAATAAGCGTTACATAATGATGTGTGTAGACTTTTTGATTTCAATTTGCTTTATTAGAAATCGGTAGGATTATTCCTGAGTGTTTTCCAACAATTTTAGATTGTTCCTTGGTATCTATGCGTCGTATAAAGGCCTAAATAAAACGCCGTGTATCCGTTTTTACCTGACTGATACTGTATGTCGAATTCAACTAACCTCAGGTTTGTGTTAGTTATTGATAATCGTAAAGATCTGAAATGATTGTAGTGTCTTAAATGTCGTTGCATATCCCCGCTGGTTGTGGCGTCGTAGTCCGCTGCTATGGTGGTTTAGTAACAGGTTATATTCTTTTATATGATTTCTAACTGAAATTTCGCACGAATAATTTTTTACGGCGTACACATTATCGGTAGCGCCATATTCTTGAACTGTGTTACATTTGCTGCATGTTTATCAGAAAATGTTGCTTGATACCGATATTTGCTCAGTGTAATTGAATGAATGGAGGCAGTGAGTTGAAAAGTTGAAAGTATATTTTTGAATTTTCATGAAATCATACTGGTCAATTTGGCCTAGTTATTCAAACGCTCTAATATCCACCGGATAAAGGTGGCGTCACTTCAAAGAAGGGATATGTCATATGATCGCCCGATATCGAGATCTGCGCGCCACTCGATTTCCTACCTGCGTGTTCATTTTAATTCTATTGATAATATATTCACTTTTATTTGCCTTCTTACAATGAAACAGAGCGACTGTAATCCACTTAAACGACGTCATATCACACCATGGTTATCCTACCTATGTCATTTCTTTGGGCTGGAATTTCGTTAAATTAACACAACCAAGTCTCGGAGGTCAGCGGCTGGAAATTTGGAAACGTGCATAGCAGGATAACCAAAAGACTTCGTATGAGAGTTCTACTATTCCGTTAATTTTACTTACTCTTTTTATATTTGTACCATTTATGATTAGTGAATTTAAGTCTCAAGTATAAGTTGAAACTCCCTCCAACTTACACTGTGGTGACTAGAGAAAATGCACGGAGCATTCAGAGGGATTCCTTATAGTTCGGCTTACAAGCTGAGTTAGGTACAACAGTATCAGGTAAAATACCTGTTCCAAAAATATGCGTCAACATCACTGTCCGAACTTTCTCTTTGGAGGGCTTTGCGGAATTAGCGAAACAGTGTTCTACCCCGTTTGGACGTCGTGATATCATTACATCTATGACAAAATAGGAGAAGGCTACCGGGTGAAATAGTGGTACTTGTGGTTTTATATGGTTTCAGAAACGAATGGAACTTCTTTCAGGAGTGGGGGGAATGAGACAAAACCATCCAGCCTACGAGCCACAAATTCTGATTGCGTAGTCTCTGCCAACGGCTTTGATGTCTGTCCAGAGTGCCATATACCCCACTATTGGCTAAGCTGCCAAAGAAAGATCGATTTCACAAACACACATGATGAAACCAGCACAGTATGAAGAAGTTACTTTCAACACCTATTTGATACTCCGGAAACAGCTAGGACAATTCCATCTCAACTAACCGAAGTGTGAAATAATGCCTTAAACAATATTAACGGCTACCAAACCGAACTACTATGCAGTGGCAGAAATCAGAAGCAAGATAATTGGGCTTCGCCCTAATGTTTCCTCGTTTTGCACCGTCTAGTAATCAGCCAGCGTCAATGACACTGAAATGACCTTAGACGGGATAACTGTGCGGAAAGGACTGAGGTTAGGGTGGTGGCGAAGGAGTCGTGGAGTTATGTGTAACTTGCAATGTCGCGCGTCCGGTGTAACATCACTGTACGGAATATCACTCTGTTGTATGGAACACTGTATAGATGCCTAACACCCATGTGAAGCACGGGCAAAAAAGATGAAAGCGATCCTTATGATTTCAAACATGAGATTCTACCAGCTCAATATCGCTGGTAGGTTCAATGTATCATCATTTGGCGCCGGTGGAGAAAACACGCCACAGAGCTTTCGGCAGGGAATTCATGAATACTGGTCTGTATGAAACCATTAAGGATGACATACACTGGAGGATAGCAGTCAAACCACTCAAGTCAAATTGCGGTTTCGGGAACGACCAACTGCCTATACAGAATGAACAGTTGGAACCATCGTTAGGCAACAGTGGCCATGCGAATATGGTCTTTGAATGACCTATTAAATGATAATAAATCAAGTATAACTGCCCCGTCAACTGTGCTATGATTAACCCGGCTTTGATTGAGTGAAAAAAGCCGTTTTTCGGTGTCTGCTACAGTAGCAGAATTCAATAAGAGTGGAAAAGCAGTTAGTGTATATGTAAGGTGTTATTATAAAGTCTATATACAATAACGTCCTTATGATAATTGCTAACCCAAAACACTAACAGAAAAATGGCATCGAACAAACAGACACTCTCTGGAAAGGAGTCAGACAGCATAGCAAATAGAACCATAAGAAACGAAAGTTCAAGGGGATAAGAGAACATTTCTTGCAAACCTTATTGGCGAAATCTAAACAAAACCCAAGAATTAGTGCAGCTTCGCGTCTCAGACCACAAGTACTGGCTACATAGGATGTGGTGCCAGAAACTGGATAGAGGAGTAATTTAGACACAGCTGAAGGTTGTCGGCACTTTCTACGTAACTCATCAACATTTAATAGAACCAAATATTTTATCATGTTAAATCGTGTTTTGATATTGTTGGAATGGAGTGTTTGACTGAGAGACCACAAAAGTTCAGCAGGCTACACTAAAGCATGAATTTAATAGTGTGTCCTGGATTCGCTTTATTTGTTCAGAACAAATACTCATGTGTTATTTGTTGTGGTAATTTCTGAGCTATCACTTTTAGAGTGTAGGGGTATAAAGAAGTCCATCAATTAAGTTGAACTTTTGGCATTTCACCTTCGAGGATCAACCTTTTTATGCGTTTATAATTGAAACTTTTGCAGAGGTAGGTAATTCCTCAGAAATATTGGCCACAGTATTCATCACTGGTCATTGGATGCTGCCCTCATTTTTTTAGTCGGTTTATTTATTTGGTTTATTACGTCCGTTCGTTCGTGCACGATGCCTGGCTATTTAATCAGTTATCTCGCCCCTCCCCCGATTTGGTCCCGAAGTATAATTCGTAATTTAGCAGATCAATTCTGGTGTTTTGCTTTGCCTTTGGTCTTCGTGGAATTAGTACTATAGAAGCTGTGGATGTTAAGTCTTGCGTTAGTATAAATCGTACTATGCGTGAACGTCAACACCCTCAGCTTGTAAACTAGTTCCCCCTATCGTGAGATTCATCTCTGATAAACACGCAGGCAAGTCCGTTGTGTTCGTTCCATTTTTTATTTGTCCTTATACTATTTTAAAAGTATTTATGTTTCTTCATGAATGACCATACGCCTTAAGTCTTCCGTATCTAACCGACTAGCGGCAATATGTAGCTCGTTCCATTCTAGCCAGAAAATGTGGAATCATTGTTTCAGATAGCCTGGTTTGACTTCAATGGACATGAACTGACCAACGTTCACGGTTTCTTGCAGTCAGCCACACCCTACTGCAAGAACTAAGAAAATCAGTTACTGTGCGTACGTTGAACCCAGACGTAAATAACTCGTATGAGGTGCTTAAAGCAACTACCATAAAAGGAAACTAACCCACGGATCGACGAATTACTTCGTAACATGGAATTAGGTGATCAGTTGGCCGTGAACATGCTAACGAGAATGCATCTAGAGCACGACGACTGACTCCTGACAAACTTAGAATCAGTAGGAATGAGTTTGACCATATGCTCACCCTTGGCATCATTCGACCTTCGAATAGCCCATATGCATCCCCACTTCATATGGCACCGAAAAAGGATAGCAATGATTGGCGACCCACCAGTGATTACCGGCGAGTGAATGCCAAAACAACCCTTGTCAGCCACGTCTCATAAACCGTTAATGCCCAGCTCTTGCTACGCTCAGGCCCACGCTGTTCCTTGCAGTTTTTCAGAAACGCTTAGTTATAACGGACGAAAAAACCAAAACACCGATCTGCCGCTTGAGATCTCTTCATTGTTACACCAACATATAAAAAGAATAAGTGAACTAAGGTCTGTGAACAAATATTACAATAAGAAATCATAAGATTACTTCTGACGGTTTATTGCTGACTTCTTTCTGAACAGCGACCGATGAGACGATGACTGTCGTATTGATGCCTCCGCGAAAATTGGGGAAGTTGGTTTTGAGCAAACAACCAAGAATTGATCGTTCAATCTTCACCTGCATTGACACTCCCCGGCATAAAAGGGATCCAACCCTCTTTTCTTTCACGACCAATACACGTTGACTTGGATGCCATTGCGAGAACCTGGGTCACACGGACAGAGCTGAAATGGAAAACAAACAGAAAAGCCAACACACCACGAGCATACCCACAGCACAATCTCACACATCGCTGACGACCTGCGCCTCCTAACAGAGACCTCCTCCTGACATCTTGCAACACAATCGCCACTTGCTAGAATGACTCTTGCAGAATGCAAAGTGACCATGGCAGCACCTCACGATACTCTACGCACATCCTCTTATCTACTCATTACCAATTACAACTGAAATCGCTTGTCACTCATTCTGCCTCAATTCTAGTAGCGGTGACGTATGCGAGCCTCAGTCGTTTACACTCTTTCTCCCCGGCGTGTGGGACCACAGCTAACAATTATCTCCGTACGCAACAATTACGATAATTGGAACTCACACAACTATTTAACACAAACATGTGTACAATCAACACATCAAATGTTGTGGATTCCGGCATGACGAACTACCCTTGAAGAACTGTAGGACTTACAGCAGTACGCCTACAACCCTTCTCAGGTTGATGATCCAAGTGGAAGTCGTACGGACACAAACAGAATTACCAACAGCTAGATGAAAGATGATATCAATTCAGTATATACAATATGAACATGTATACAAAGTCACACACCGAGCACATTGGACTGCTCATTGATGTGCTACCCTTTAGAGAATTGTAGGACTTACACCAGT